AGGGACTCTGCCCCCCAGCCTTGTGTTCTGTAAGCAGCCCGAGTTGTTGTGGAGCCAACCTGCAGCCTGGCCTGGCTGCTAGCAGAGGGCACCATCTTAGGTCTCTCCCCATGGAAGGGCTGTGTGACTCCTGAGTGGTTTGGGGGTAAAGCCACAGCTCTGGGATCAGTCCCGTTGCTTTTAGCATGCAGTTTCCCAGCAGTGACCCTTGCTGGGGCTCACCAAAAGCATGAGCAGGTATTTTGCTCAGCAGCTCCCTGCCCTTTTGCCGGGGGCTTGCAGCCCCGGGGTGCTTTGCACACTGGATCTGAGCAGGATTGAGCATGCGAGGGGACCGAGGGCACCACATGCTCAGGAGAGGAAGGCAGGCGACCTGGCACTTGGCTCTCTGGGCCTGCACAGCCAGACTGGGCACGCGTCCCCAGCATCCCACCTCCTCTAGCTCCCATCTTCCCCACACAGGCCAACGAGAACAGCCTGCTGAGCGCCCAGCTGAAGGGCTTCCCCCTCTTCCTCCACTCCAACCTGGCGCTGAAGGACTGCAGCATCAACCCCAAATCCCCCCTCCTGTACATCACACGCCCCAGCGAGGTGGAGAAGGGCGTGCTCCCTGGCGAGGACTGGACTGTCTTCCAGTCCAACCACTCCACCTACGAGCCTGTCCTGCTGGCCAAGACCAAGTCAGCCGAGTCCATCCCGCACATGAGCGTGGACGCGGCGCTGCACACCACCGTGATGCAGGACCTGGGCCTCCACGACGGCATCCAGAGGGTGCTTTTTGGCAACAACCTCAACTTCTGGCTGCACAAGCTCGTCTTCGTGGACTCTGTCTCCTTCCTGACGGGCAAGAGGCTCTCCCTGCCCCTCGACCGCTACATCCTGGTGGACATCGACGACATCTTTGTGGGCAAGGAGGGGACACGCATGAAGGTGGAAGATGTCAAGGTGTGGCTGGGATGTCCTGGCTGGGTGGGCAGGGGATGAGTAGGGCTGTGGGCTTGTGCCTGTTCTGGGGTGCTCCAGGGGTGAGCTTTGCTGCATCCCGAGCGTCCCCTGGGCGCCCCTCTGCGAAGCCCTCAGGGACATGGTTCCTCACCCTGGTGGGGCAGCTGTCCCTGTGGCTGCAGGCTGAGCAGATCTTGCTTTGTCTCCCCCTCTCCCAGGCGCTGTTCGACACGCAGAACGAGCTGCGCACCCACATCCCAAACTTCACCTTCAACCTGGGATACTCAGGGAAATTCTTCCACACGGGTGAGGAGGGCGAGGGCGCCGCTTCGCGCGTTGGCGTCGGACCGCTGGGGCTCGAGCCGGTGCTGGGAGGCTGATGCTGGGGTTGCAAGGGGGTCCTCAGACATCCCCCCCGCTGCCCTCGTCACAGAGAGGGGCTCCCCCTTCCTCCACCTCTGCTGCCCGTGGGCAGCTCCACGTGCCCCGTGGTGACGGCGAGCATCGTGCCCGCAGGTACCGATGCCGAGGACGAAGGTGACGACCTGCTGCTGTCCTACGTGAGGGAGTTCTGGTGGTTCCCCCACATGTGGAGCCACATGCAGCCTCACCTCTTCCACAACCAGTCGGTTCTCGCCGAGCAGATGACCTTAAACAAGAAATTCGCTGTCGTGAGTAAGATGCTGCTGGTGGGGGTGCTTGTGGTGAGGGGATGATGGGAGGAGGGGCGAAGAGGCTTCCCGGGAAGCTGGGTGACAGTCTCTGCTTGGCAGAGCAAAGGGAGCTGCTGATATTAAGTCACGTCCCCCACGTTGCAGCTGGGTGGGTAAATCCATTTGTGTGCCAGGACCTGGAATAAAGGGATTTATCTGCAGCGTGCTGCTGCCGTCCCAGTGGTGCCAGTGCAAGGGGAGACGTGGTCTGTGCAGTGCCTGGCTGGGGGGGTGCAGAGCCCCAGTCCTGGTGTGGTTGGATGCTGTGCTGGGCAAGGGTGTGGAATCCCAGAGCGGTGGTGGTGTGCCAGGAGGCTCCTGCTGATGGAAACTCCCCCTGCGGGCTGAGCTGTCAAAGCCATGTTTGGTTCATAAAGGCAGGCTCAGACCTTCAGCTTGGTACAGGGTTGTCCTTCCTCTTGGACTATCCTTTATGTGATGCTGGTAAAGCCAACATTGAGACCAGGTCATGTTGTGACCCACTGGTTTGCTCACTGCTGTCTTCAATCCAAACAAATAAAGCCAGACCCAGTACAAATAATTTGGTCCTGTGGCTGAAGAGAGGGATCTTCAGGCTACCTTGGATTCATTGTCTGATAGTTAGAGGTGCCTAACTAGAGAGAGACCAGACCAGCCCTGCTTGGGATGAGCAGCTGTCCAGCTCACAATTTCCAGGGTGCACAGTCCTGTATAGATCTGTCTCTTCAGTCTCCACAAAAAAGCTCCGCTGCTGCTGTTTTGTTGGTGACAGCAGAAATGGCAGGGATGGGGATGTCCACGTGAAGCAGAGGAGGGAGAGCACACCCAGCACTCTGCTCCTGGGCTCCCTCTCATGGAGACAGACCTGTTTAGGAAATGTGCAGGCATAGCCCTGTCCTGGTTGCTCTCTATGAAGAGATGTGCATAAACAGACAATTTGTAGTTGGGAACGGGCAGTCCCTCAGGGAGAGATTGGGTTGAACAGGAACATTGTGGGTCTGGGGTCTCCACGGTCACCCACTGCCCGCTCTCTTTGCAGGAGCATGGCATCCCCACTGACATGGGGTACGCCGTGGCCCCCCACCACTCGGGCGTGTACCCCGTCCACGTGCAGTTGTATGAAGCTTGGAAGCAAGTTTGGTCCATCAAAGTGACGAGCACGGAGGAGTACCCCCACCTGAAACCCGCGCGCTATCGCCGTGGCTTCATCCACAATGGCATCATGGTAGGGGGCCAGGCTTTCTTCCTGGTGCTTCTCTCCTCTCGCCTCCCCCACCAAACCCCAGGACCTCAAAACATAGTTTCTGGGCAGCTCAGATGCTTAGGTTTGAGGAGGCTGTGGCCTCTGCTCACCCTGCACAGGGGAAGCTTGTGTGGGGACACTTTGTGGCTTCTCCATCTGTCCCTCCCTTGTGGGTAGCGGGATTCAAGTCAAGGGTGGTGAGGAGCAGTGGAAGCAAACCTGACCCCTGAGGGGTTGAGGACTTGTTTTGCCAATGACCAGGCC